ATTTCGCGAGCGGGTTTCCTTTGAATTGGATTCGCTCGAGGGCGTAGCTGCGCGCGCGCGAGATGCAGTCCTCGAGCGCGCCCATCGTGCCGAGCGCGATGCCCAGGCGTGCGCTGTTGAGGCAGGTGAAGGGGCCCGAGAGGCCCTCGACGGCGGGGAACATGTTCGCGGCGGGGACCGGGCAGTCGTCGAGCTGGATCATGCCCGTGATGCTCGCGCGGAGCCCGTTCTTGTTCTTGATCGGCGGCGTCGCCAGCGTGCCAGGGGGGCAATCGCGCCTGTCGACGAGGAAGCCGCGGATCTTGCCCGTCTCGCGCAGCTTGGCCCAGACGAGCAGGACGTCGGCGATGGGCGAGTTCGTGATCCAGGTCTTGGAGCCGGAGAGGAGGAGGTACCCCGTCTTGGAGGGGTGCGGGCGCGCCGTCGCCTCCATGGACCCCGGGTCGCTGCCGTGGTTGGGCTCGGTGAGCCCGAAGGCGCCGAGGAGCTTGCCCTGCGCCATCGCGGGCAGGTACTTGTCCTTCTGCTCCGCGCTCCCGAACTCGTGGATCCCGCCCATCACCAGCGACGACTGCACCGACATGCCCGAGCGATACCCGCTGTCCACGCGCTCGACGGCACGTGTTATCAGGCATGAGGCTACGGTCGAGGCGCCGGCGCACCCGTAGCCGTGCAGGTTGGCGCCGAGGAGGCCGAGCTCGCCCATCTCGAGGAGGATGGCGGGGTCGTAGTGCTCGTCGCGGTAGGCCTCTGTACGCGAGCGCGGTGCGGTTAGCGACTTAGCGCCCAAGATTGCGGGGGATGAAGTAGAGGGATGAAGTAGACGGGTATACACTCACGCAGGACACGCGGCAGCAGTCTTTCTTGACAGTACCGTTCTGCGGTCTCCGAGATAGCTACCTCCTCCTCGGTGAGCAAGCTCTTGCTGGCCAACGGGTCCTCCCAATCAAACGAGGACCTAGAAGCCGCGGCATAGCTTCTCGAAGCCTGTCTTTGCCCTAGGGAGGCGGCCAACAGTCGAATACTCCGCGATATCGTCGGTCGAAACATGCTTGCACGCTCAATTGGAAGGAATTGAGGCGAGCGGGAGGGGAGTTGGAGGTGTCCATGGCTGGCTGCAGCATCGCGGGCTGTTGTAGTAGTTTGGCGGGGCCGAGGGTTGGGACTGCCTATGACGCTCCCTAATTCTATATAAGCAATCAACCCAGCAGCTCGGTATTCTATCAGCCGGTTCAACCCGCTGACCCGTACGGAATAGGTAGCCTGGAGCGAGTCGCTACCTTCCTAGGTACTTACTAATAAGGTACGTAGCGAGATCGGCTTAGTGGGGCGTGGCTGGTGCTTGTCCATTCTAAGTACATTGTACATATCATCGCATACACTTTATACTGATCAAAGCATAAATGTCATGGCTGTCTCTAGGTACTCTAAACACGTCAAGTCTTATAGTGCTTACATATGTATTCAAAGCAGAGCTTACAACTTTATATATGCCACCAATCTTTGAGACATCCTAACCCTAGTTCATTATGAAAGCAGCACGGTACATATGTATGTATATAGGCAAGTATGTCGTAACTGGATATCATCATCCCTACATTGCCATTATCTCTTTAAGAACATGGTATACTTTCAGGTGTTGTGATCTAAGTGACTTATATGGGTAAGGGGAGTTGGTGATGATTGGGCCTTCTTCGCCTGTTAGCGGCGCCTGTCATGGAAGGAACCCCAGAGACGAGTCGACATGAAACCTACCATCTCTGCAGATTCTCTACAGAAGTCGCTACGTGATGTAGCTCGAATCCATGAAACAGGGCCAAGTAACTTTCCTCGTATGGAGGTATCATCAAAACCGTCCTCTCTGCTTGCCTGTTCGTCAAGCTCCTCGGATCTCAATCCCGATTCCTAGAACCATGTTTACCAAGTGGCGATATATCTTTAAAGCCTTATGCTATCGTATCCGTCATCGCTTGTCGTCTACCATTACATACCTCAGCTCCCTAGTTAGTCCCAAACAGCATGACCCCGAGGAGTCATGATAGCCTGGTAATGAATCCCGGAGACTATGGATACCCACTGGGGACTGCCGAGCAACACCTGCGCTCCAACGGATCGCGAGGATACTACAGCAGCGGCCCGTGTACTCCTTATAGACGCCACCCTGGCAGCCATCGGTCAGTCCGCTCCGAACAATGCCAGAAGGAGAACGACCGAGAATACGCAGAATGGCACTCACTATCTCCTCCCAAATTGCGATTTAACGCCCACAGGGTTTCTTCCTATTGCCAGACGTGTAGGACGGCCGAAGATTGTCCACATAGGCCCCCTAGGTCCGTCAGCGCAAGCCCGTCCGAACGCCCGAGCCCTGAATTCTGTTGGGAACACAACAGCCAAGACGACGTGATTTCGACTTGGCTATCTGGCGTCCCCCCTTGTTCTGTATACTCGAGCAAGGGCATTGGTATAGATACGGAAACGAGAGTTGAAGAACCATCTGCCAGGCGCCACGAGCTGACTATCCAATCGGAAACTGGTTTCGACGGGCCTCTCAGTAGTCGTGATGGAGAAAACTATTTGACTCCAGAGGGTAGGTCTTGCGAGCTAGGATCCTCAATTCGTAGATCCCGTCTATCAGGTTCCTCTCGTGGGCTTCGATCTGACGAATCTGGATCTATCGACTGGGAGAAATGCTGGCCGAAGCGAAGACCTCGCCGGGTTCATGACGTGTCGGAGGCTTCAAATACAGATCCTGTCCCTCAATCGTATACCACGGATATTTTCTCTATGGTCAAGGATCAGGATGATAGCGACAGTGAAACGCATGCTGAAGAAAAGTCCTGTTCCCATGTCACAAAGCATGATACACGGTTTCATGCAATTCATCATATAGCCTTCAATTCATGCCCTGAGCTCCATCACCAGTTAGAATTTGCGGGAGAACCACCACCTGGATACAGTGTGAGCGCTTCTCCTGATACCCCCACAGCTCTTACTTACAAGGGGTATAGGCTCATGGAGGCCAAGACTGCGTCCCGCAACTTCGTTTGAAGCTTGACGAGGGGAGATATAGACATCACGGTCACGTCCGTGATAAACTTTCAAAGAGGTTCAGGTCGTTCGGGCGGAGGCTCCGGCGCTCGAGCTCTTCTAGCTATTCGATTCGTTCCGATTTCCCAGCCCCCCTAGATGGCAAGGAGCGTCGAATCCGCGCCCGATGCTCTGCAGATGTCTGGCTGTCATCGGGCGAAGAATCCCCGATATTCAACACCCCTGAGTCTAATGCTGGATCGGCTTGTTCCCCTAGCCATCATATTGATCCATTGGCAATAGCTGGGGTGATGATTGCAACGGCAGAACTGGATCGACTTTCTTCACCAGGGAGCATCGGCCAGACTTCTAGGACATCTGCGTCCTCGTCTGGTGTTCTGGGAATCTCGCCAATGCTTCCCACGCCATTTTCCAGTAGCATAGGTAGTCCGAACAATGGAACATCCACATCTGATTTAGCTGAATTGGATACATCTCCTCCGACTATGCCGTTCAATACACCCTCGTCATCGGTTCCTCAATCGGGCCTTGTAAGCCCGGTACATAGATCTTCGTTGAGGCAGAGACAAAGGCGGAGGGCACATCGCAGCCGGTTGTCAGAGGTCACAACACCAGAGAATGAATCAGTGGATGATCTCGTCGAAGGTCAGCGTTCCTTCACGCCTCCTGCTATTGAGACCCTACAAGAATGCTTAGCCAACTCGATGGGTGTAAACCAGGATACTCTGATACCACAACCATTGTCGATCAACCGAAGCCGTCGAGCAGAGACTGAGTGTCCGAAGATCAATCGCCCAGACGACTCGGCAGTATCTCATTCCATGCCTGAGCTTAATGCCCCTTCACCTGTTCGAGCAAATATCCCCTATATGACCACTAGAAGCTCGACAAAGCTTTCAGATAATTTGAGCCCAGATACACCATTCCCACCGTCTCGGAGCTCGTCAATCGGGAAGACGCCAGAACCAATGTACGGTCCAAGAAAAACCTCGACGAACGCGGATGATCAAGGACTCCTATCACCGAACGTCCCCCCTAACACCGAACACTCCGCAACACCAGCCGGAATGCACAGGAGATTGTCAGGAGACCTACGCCGCGTCATAGGAAGAGCCGCTGCGGATGACGAGATACACGACATCGGCGACTACGTCAATGCGAGGCTCCAACGCGAGGGTTTCGGTCCCCCGGCCATCGACCCTGCAGAATCGGCGGATGCCCAGCCCAAGCCTGAGTCCTGCCATCCGGATACCTGGTCCGAGTCTCGAGGCGAGCCGGGCAACTCGGACCCCTTCTGTCCTCCGGACTGCCTCGTGACCAGGCACAGCAGTCAGGACAGTGGTCATGTGGCGCCCTTGGCGCTGATTAGGCGGAGCACGAGCGGAACTGTTCATCAGCTCGGTGAGCCGGAAGCCGAATCGGCGGACTCGGATGATCAGGGCCAGCCCCAGACAGATGACGGATGGTCCGGTAATGAGGCGGCCGAGGGCATGCACGAGAGGAAAGACAAGAACTCGGAGCCGGCTTGGTTGTGAGAGATGACAGAGATCCTATCCATGTACGGATACGTAGCGTTACTCAGAAGAACCTAGAATGACAGGACCTATTAAACTGAATGGCTCCATGCTCTTGGCTTTTTTCGCTGTATTTTTCTGCTGAAACTCAATGTCGAAGCAGGTCATAGTGGCCGACGTGAAGAGAGCCCCCTATCAAGGCCTCTCTGTCAGTTTACCCCACTCTACTCCTGAGCCACTTAGTAGCTAGCCCTATCGCAATCAATCAATTGCACTCGAAACACTTCTCTCAATTGACTGACTTCCATTGCGCCTGATTACAGGCCTCCATTCAGTCTCAGCTAGTAGGTTCACGATTTCCACCCATCCCGACAATAGCGTCATGAACCGGGTGTGCATATAGCCCGCATTAGAGTGGACCTGCACACATCCATCATTGGAACGATAGCTCAGTGGTAGAGGTTAGCATTTACCCCAATTCCCGAAGTTCCGGGTTTTCTTATTTCATCTCTAACGATTGCACAGCGAAGGATTGCAGTCATGCGTAACAAGTTATCCTTAGGTCGCCGGTTCGATCCCGGCTCGTTCCTGAGAACTTTCTTTTTTCTTTTTTCGGGTGTGGTGTTTTTGGGGTCGGGGTGGGATGGTGGGTGTGACTGAGGTGGCTAAGTACGGAGTAAAAGTTTGTTTTTTTGCTCGTCTGGGTTAACTGTATAGGGAAGTGTTGTAAGCCACAGCTCAGGTTAGTCAGGTCTCGACGTAGGATGGATAATATTATAATAGAGATAGTTGTGAAAGCGGAGACAATTACCGTGACATTCTTCATCTTAGTAGAATGAATGACAAGCTTTTAATTACCAGAAGAGGTCCAGTTACTAGAAGGAATGAAACTCAGTGACGAGTTCTTAATTGCCCGGTGTTAAATTTCACGGGAAAATGTTTCTCGTGAACCTTGAGAGCTGCTATAGGCCTGACTATTCTTAAGACCAGGAAGTCTAGCTATGATAGGAGAATCGAGTATCAGAAGAGCTCAGAATACCAACCAAAATAATTTTTTTATTAGGCTGGCCATGTTCGCCAATGAATTTGAAGTACTCTCACAGATAATTAAGGGAGATAACCGCTGTTGACGGTATATCTAAATACACGCCCTGAAAGATAGGAGGTGACACCGATCGCAGATGGGGCAGACTGTATCTGATAATTAATATACATAGATATATGCAAGTATCTGCTTCAGAGGCAGCTCCAAGGAGCCTGAACATCTTCGATGCTTGGCTTCAGCTAACCAAGCTCAAGCCTCGCACAGTCAGTTGGAGCATCATACTATACCAATGAACCCATCCTACACCAGCACTTCTCACTAGGTGGCGTATAGATGATTCTAAAGCCCCTAAAAACTTATGCCTGCCCATTCATTCAACCCAAAAACGCCATGCGATGCAGTAATTGTCCCACGAAACCCGCTGTAGCCCGTCTAGTTCCGTACATAGCACACACAAAGGTAAAGCACACAACGAAGCACTCACTCACTACCTGGCTCCTTCACTTTTAACCCCCACCATCTCGTACTCGCCCGCTCCGTCTCTTCCCCGGCCCCTGCCGCGGCCTCTCGAGATGCCCATCTCCAGGTCGCCGTTCTCGCCGCCGGCATTGCCGTTCTGTACCGCGGCCTCGGTGGTGCCCTCTGCGTTGGCGGTGTTCCTCCCGCCGCCGCCGAAACTAATTGGTCGGAGCTCCCTCCATCGACATCCGTACGTCCCTCCTGCGACGGCGACGGTACACGACAATGCCATTATAACCCACCACGCAACATGCCGCGGTATGAACCCCGTGTAGAAGGTCACGATGACGAGGTGGATGAAGTGGAGCGTGATCGCGAAGTCGAGGACTAGCTTGGACCGCCCTATTAACACCACCATGGCCACGACACTACCTATAGTCAGCAACCGAACAACCCAGGTATAACTCATAAAGACAAAGTCAAAAAAGGGGGGGGGGGGGGGGAGACACGAACATCGCACCAGCGCAGCACAGCCAGACGAAGCCCATCAGCCACCCCTGTGTGGTGTCGCCGCGCAGGCTGGCCCAGCCGAAGACGAGGTCGAGGTCGAAGCGCGACCCGACCATCAGCGTCGTGAAGACCATCAGCACCAACGCGGCGACGTAGTATATGCCCTGCAGCGCGGCGATCTGGCCCAGGATGCGCAGCGGCGGGAGCTCCGTTATGGCGCCCGGCCGAGGCGGCCTTCTTCGTCTCGCCATCGGGTCTCAGGGATGTGTAGAAAAGGAGAGCGAGCAGCTATGGGGTGGGCAGCTCGAGATAGGTAGGTAGGTAGGTAGGTAGGTAGGTAGGTAGGTGTCGTCTACAAGCGGAAACGGTATGAACGAGCGGATCGAATGGAAGACGAGGTCGAAGTCAATTAATGGATAGGCGTCACTATAACGTGACCATATCCGATTGGACACTGGTGTTTGTGAGCTGACCACAGGGGCCGTGTATGCCGTGTATGCCGTGAATGCGGCGTTGGTTAGTGCGACGTTATGCTATTACAATACAAGTACAAGTATGCAAGTATGCAAGTAAGTTGTGTAAGTAATAAGGAAGGAAGAGACAGCGTCGTCGAGAGCTCGTCTCTCTCCAAAATTGGCTGATGACAGAACCAACCAAAAAGGGTCGGTGCTTTCCCTCTCCTAGAATAATACAGCTGACAGATTACCTACTGTGATTCCGGCACGGAAAGGGAGGCGCCAGATTTAAAGTTAATTTCAGCCCACGTCTAGTCCCAATACGGCTAGCGTATCTTGGCAGCGTGCGCCACACCCACACCAGCTCACGACCTCACGTGCATTACATCTTCATCGGAAAAGCGGGGACCTGCGAAAGCTACCTAGGTATGTACTCCGTACCTTATCGGAAGTACCTATCTGCGCTTGAAGCTCCCACCCTCGTGCGACAGTCGACTTGAAGAACCAGTACCTACCTCGCCGCTTCCCCGCGAGCAACATACCTACCCATACGCCCTGAACGAACCGAGCCATCCCCTCGAGTGCTCCCCACCGGAATATAAGGTAGCTTCACGATGGGCTTCTTCGGACTCTTCGGCTCGGCGGAGGACAAGCGCAAGGAGGAGGTGCGCACCGGCGCGCGCGCCCCCGACCGCTCCGAGCGCAAGCAGTGCTGGGAGGCGCGCGACAACTTCTACCGCTGCCTCGACCGCCACGACGTCATCGACGCGACGGCCGGCGACGGCAAGAAGGTCGCCGAGAAGCAGTGCGCGGCGGAGAACAAGGCCTTCGAGCATAACTGCGCTAGTGCTTGGGTGGGTTTTGCTGGCAACGCGATTGTCCCTCAGGACTTACCTGGCTGACCTGGGTATGCAGGTCGCGTATTTCAAGCGCTACCGCGTCGCCGATTACCAGAAGAAAAAGACCCTCGAACGGTTAGAGAAGGAGGGCGCGAATCAGATGGCCATTGAGGGACCTGGATCCAAGGCGGTATGAGACTAGGCAGTCTTGCTCCGGAGACTTTACTATAAATGAGGATCATGGGATATTCTCACCTTGGATGGCGGCTTGTTATGTATCATGTATGTACTATATTGTATGTACGCATGTGAACAGCATTGGACGGTGTTCCGGATGGGAAAAACGATTTAGGTTAGATTTGAAGCTCTCCTTTCAAAGAATTGATGCTGCAGTTTCAGCACATTACGATTGAGCAGCCGGGTGTACTCTTGCAAATCTGCCACTAATTAAGAGTCAACTCAGTCAATTCATTCTTTGAAGAGCAATGCCGTGTAACCTATTCTCTATTCCTAGCGACATTTTTGACTACGATGGGATAATATAATGAGGAGCATAATCACCTGACGGAGTGCAAGATGAAGCTATGAAGGCAGAACCTACATATATACATGAGGCAGCCATATGTAGGCTTATACTCAGCTCTATGGCTCTAATCCAACAGCCCCGTATCATCAGAAAAGGGGGTCTCTCATTCTCATGATGCTATTCACTCCAGGAGGGCATCAACATATCATTCTGTTCCGGTCTCAGCAGAAGTCAGTCTTTTCAAGAATCTGAAATAAATCGCGCCAAGTGGTGACCGATGACATAATGGTTTGACTCGACAATGGTCTTGTTATGGTGGCCGGGTACTTTTAGAAATTGCGCCAATACGGCACAGCAGTAAAGTAATCTTATATTAGGGGCCAGGAGCTGCCTGTACCTGAAAGCCATCTATGTATAGTAGAATTCAGGCTCGACTGGTTCATTGAAAACATTCAATTGATTACATATTGCCAAGCACATCAGAATCCATTTTGTGTCCAGGGCTATCTGAAGGAAGTCGCTATGGAAAATTTCATGTCCGTATTCAAGACTACCATCCTGAGTGATCGCAAAGGCACTTTGAATTTCTCTGAAAGAACAGAAAACCCATTGAACACATTCGCGGTGCTCTTGATCCAGTTTGATATATCAGTGATAAGCATACTATGATACTGATTATATCGTGGTTTATGTACCTTGATGGCCTGAAAGATATATGATCTAGGTCATGCAGTCTCCAAGGCCAGTTTTGGGCAAGTCAAGAAGCCGTCACAAAACTAAACTAGGTGCAAGGATCAGGGTCGGGGACGAAGAGAAATAGAGGGATGCGGAGGCGGATCATGATCATCACTATAGTATAGAATTCCCGATTACTGAACAAAGGCCAGCCAACTAGTGGCTTTCCGACTATAATACTGGTTCCCAAATTCTAACATAGTGTTTTCATGTACTATGTAAGTAGCTATGCCTCTTCCAGCCAATACAAAGTAGTTATAGTCTAACTATGTGCTGCTCTTCTGCGGCGCGGTCGTACGTAGAACTTGGTTGTGCTGGCATTGATCTGCGGGAATAAAGGCGTCTATTTAGCTAGCAGCGACAAGTATAGAGTCTTGTAAGTCAGCGCCGAAAGCTGTAGCAACGACAATCGGACACCGAGTCGAGTGGAAATTACAGGCTAGTCCGCAGATCTCTATGCTTTAAATGACTACACAGTTCTGCTAATTCATTCTCGGCTCTATACAACTAGATATCAGGTTACATAAAGGTACCTGTACACTGGGCGTTTCTCAGTTGAATCTTACGACGGGATTGTGATGCCGTCCAAGAGGAGTGTAAATAAAGCCCTCCACAATGTGGGCGGAGGATGGCTCGGCAAATGCTGCAGAACTTGGGCTGTGCCTCAAGGAGCCTGGTGTTGAGTCCAAAGAAAGAGTTACGGGTCGACAGCGTAAGTCACTCGATGCCAGAAGCCCCTATACGGTCTGAATACCATGCGGTTGAACGTGTACATAAACCCTTCGTTCCCAGAGCACGTCAGTCAGTTATATCTTCCATCATCGACAACAACATCCAACTTACAGACATAAAATTAAATACCTAATACACTATAATCGTTACTTTCTCCGCTCAAATCACTAAACACCATAATCATGCAGTTCACCACTACTGCTCTCCTGACTTCCCTCGTGGCCTCTGCCATGGGCGTCGTCGCCAAGCCCCTGGAATCGAAAGCCGAGGTCCACACCTTCGCCGGGGA